TTTTGCAAGACAAAATAAATCATGAGGCTTTTTAGCTTCACTCCTATTTTGACCTGACCGTTGAAAAATACATTTGCTGACATTGATTTTTATCTCACTTTGACCCAACCATAGGAAAAAAGGAAAGAATTTCATTTTTGCTGTTTTCCTCTGAAAAGATCTCCCCTCTAAAGTCTTCGACCACTATAATTTCATTGACTGAATAAATAACTTTTACGATTAATGTATACTAAAGAGGAAAAAAAATTATGGATTGATTAAAACTGGGCTTCCGTAAATTGTTGAGGTATGTAGGCTCATTATTGCTCATCATTACTCATTATTTCTTCGGCACTGATGGGCGCAGCAGGCAGGTCTTAAGCCGGCAAGCGTTGGGAACGAGCGAGATGTTTGTGAGCGTTCTGGCGCGAGTACGAGAGACCCCTTGGAGACCTTTCGCGTACTCGCTGGGGCTGCTGCTTAAATGAGAGATAACTGGAGGGCTTAGTTTTTTTCTTCTGCCATAGCTTTTTTGGTACTTTTCTCTAGGTTTGATTTAGAAAGTCCGGCGAGGTATGTATAAACTCCGTGATGTGGCCAGCGCGTTCACACGTCACAAGTTGCTTGGAATATCAAGATGAAATATTCTATGAATTCTCCCAAACTCCCTTGCGTTTCGATGATGCTATGTTAACAAGAAATAAAGTCTTCAATGGTGAAAGTTTGATGCGTGGAATGGAAAGAAAGATCTGGCAATAGACACCAGAGAGTCGATACCGTTTTAAAGAAGAGGTTTTTTTCATTGCTTATAAAATCGTTTCATTAAATGGCTGAGGAAGAATAAAAGGCGATAATTAGCATACGTATTGAATCGAAAAATAGATTTTAATACTCCCCGTTGACGTACCACATAATATTTTAAACCTTAGGCTATGCATTTTGCTTGGCACGATAATGACGCTCTTGTACCATGCTGTAAAAATTGATTAAGGTCAGTTTGATCAATGTTTTTTACAAAATTGCTTCAAGTCTTTTTTTTTTTTTTTTTTTTTTTTTTTTTTTTTTGCTTAGCTACAGTCTTAAGCGGGTGCAAAGGACCAAAATAACTAATTCTTATGGAAAGACACGATGTCAGTATCGTGAATGACAGTAGATTTTCCC